AGGCGGAACACAATGGAAGGATACCAGGCTGTTGAGTCACAAGGCTCTTGGCAGTGAACTTCAAAAAATGCAGGATTGTCCCGGCGCAATGAAGCATTTGTGCCAGATTGCTTCTATTCTAGGAAATCTGGAACGCCTCTGTTTACTTTCCAGACGTTGTACCTTTGTAGAATTTGGTGCTGGAAGAGGTGAGGAGTTACAATTTTTTAAAATACAGCAGTCTGTTTTTTTCCTGTTGCCAGAAGTAATATTCGTTCGCAGCAATTTACCGTGTCCTTCGATTTTGTATGCAGTGTACAATACAGTACTTACATTTAACTGTGACGCAAATGGGAGTATAGGGTGTCCAGAAATTTACCACGCCGTGGAATGGGTTTGGACGAAAACTTTCAACAATATGGTTACATTCAGTTTTGCGGTTTTTCTTCATTATTTTCTTTGAGGGCTTAAAATTTCTACCAAAGTTGATCGAAAAGCAAAATTAAATCAAGGGACTGATTCATTGTTTAGGTATCGTTTAAAAAAATTCCCTCCGGTTACAAATTTATTCATTTTTTATTCACGGACTCCATTTCCTTTTTTTATGTTTTGCAAAATACAGTAGTTTTAACATCATCGTTTGACTGGAATGTGTGAATTCGTCTCCCTTCGAAAACACTGAACGCTATTGTTCAGTTTGAATCGTTTTTGTAGAAGCAATCCCACTTCGAAAATTGATGTTTTCATGCATCGCACTCCTTCATACACGCGCATTTGCCAGCCCATTCCAGGATCTTGATATGCTTCGAATTATACAGTATGATTTCTGTTCTCAGGGGCTGTATCCTACTGGCTCTCGAAGGTTGCCTCCGAATCTAAGAAAGACTCGGAGGTTTTCCTGATCGACCGAGCTTCCCAGAGACACAAACTCGATAACCGTTTAAAAGATGGAGATGAAGCCCTGGGATCCGTACCCGTTTCGAGAATTAAAGCTGACATTGAGCACTTGGTGCTGGATTCTTTGCTCGATGTGCCGCGTTTGGATACTGGAAGTGAGGATGAAACTCGGATAGTTGCGGTGACCAAGCATTTGTGCGGCGCCGCGACGGACTTTGCCCTTCGTTGCTTGGCAAATTCGAAAATTAAAGACAAATCTGTGTGTTTTGCAACTTGTTGTCATCACCGGTGCGAGTGGAAATCGTACGTAGGGAAGTCGGTTTTACAAGTGAGTAAAATATGAGTTGATCCAGTCTTACGTTTTACTTGACAATCCTTACGTAGGGTGAGAGAGCATAGCATCTTCTATCCGACTACGAAACATAGTAAGCAGAGTATGGCTTATTTTTGTGGTGATCAGTTAATAGTGGGGGAAATACCAAAAATCAATGGTATGGATGAAGAGAAAACATTGTCAACCAAGGTTCAACACGTCTCCACTTTAAGAATCAATGCTTTAGACTTTTATAGAAAAAGCACAAGTAAGTGCTGTATCGTATTTGAGAGCGGCTGTGAAGTTTTTTCTAAGCCTAAAAGTTTGATTCGTAATTTAACCAATTCAAACTTCGGTTTTCCTTGCGATGTGAACCTCTCATTTTTCATGGAAGTTTGAATCACAAAAGCTGTTTAACAATTATAAATGAAAATTAGAAAATTTTGAATATTTCTAGGTTTTCTTTTTCAATATTTCTGCTTTTTTCAGAGTTACGGATTCAATGCCTCCAACTTCCGAGTTTTGTGTTCCTTGACGAGTTGGCTGACCTGTGGGTCTCGGAAACGAGAAGAAAAGTTGGACCCGTGCTCTGATGAGATATCTCAACAAAGGTGATCTAGATATTCCTAAAAATGTGGATATAATCTCGGCATTGATTTTTTTTTTTGGGTCCAAGAGTTGCCTTTTTGTACAATTCATTGGAAAGAAAAATACTGTACGTGAAAATCCTCGCTACGGAAAAATTATAAATCGGAGCATTTTATAGTATCGATAACAATTTTAAAAATCTCCTCGTATCACAATCGAAGAGCTGAAATCGAGGAAAATGTTGCATTTCGATAAATTCTTCCTATTCATTCAGTCTATAGTCCATTTATTTTCATATTGAAAAGGTTTTTCATCAGAGAACCTGTGCTGATCGATGTTGTTGTAATATTATTTCAATTAATATACAGTATTAGAAATTTCTTTGCAGTTTTTCTTCTTCATGTGTTTTTGTTCGTTGCTGATCCGCATTAATTTGCTATTGTTCTTGTCTAAGGTACGCCAAATTGGGGTTTACCGTCAATGAAAGCGAAGAAATCGGAAGAATCTGCAAGGATATAATCGATGCTGGCAGGATAAATTATTTGAAGTCGGTGGGATTTGCAGATGCGAACTGCTGTATTTATGTTCCCGAATCCGTGACTCCGGAAAATGTTCTTCTGATTGCGAAAACCGTCGAATCATTAAAAGTGGGATGAACTCAGTGGTCCTCATTTTTATTTTATATTTTTCGCCCCGTGTTCTCCGCTCCGCAGGCGTTTGGATTTTATTGCATGCGCCGTGTGTAGTTTGAAATCGTCTCGAAAAAAAAATTCCAGGTGNGAAGAGCTATGCAATTCTTTCGGAGTAATACAAATACTGTACTTTATTTCGCAAATACAGTGGTGCCTCGTATACATCAAGCCGAATTCGCTAAGATAAGAATGAGTGGTTCCGTTTCTGTGTGATAAACTGGAATGGTTGTTGTATGGATGGAACGTTTTTTCTCTTGTAAATGGTTGGAAAAATAATTAATTTCGATTGAAAAAGGAAACGATCTAAAATTCAAAGAAAAAGCTTTGGACGACCGTTGATTTACAGGCCACTTCGAGAGCGATTCTCAGATTCCAATTACAGTAAATGCGTGGTTTTCAGCCCCATTCCGTCAGTAATCACCGTTCTTGAATGCGCGCTTGAAAAGAATGGTGGCGGTTTTTAAATACAACGCACGAGCTTTTCTCTATTAAAAAAAGATTCGAACAACGAAGCGCTTCATTCAAAATCCTCTGGTTTATTTTTTTTTAAAGCGCTTGTTGAATTTCAAGCCCACAATAGCAGAAGGATAAAACTCGATGTGGATATTACTGTAATTATCCCTGAGATCTGTGCGAGGCAATTATTTATTTTTACAGGGATTGTCTATTTTTCATCTGGGATGCCAGCCAGGTGTTACCTGAATCTTTAAATTAAACAAAAATAACTTAACCTGTACTTTATAATAACTCAAACCGATTCGTATAGGACAAAACGTGAACCTGTCCTAATTCAAACCGAAGGACGCAACTATAATACTGTACATTCAATTGACGCTTATGTAAAAGCCATCGTGTTGTTTAGGAAATCTTGTATTACATTGTATCTAAATAAGAAAACCAAGGGTTCTTGAACGAATTTTGTATAATTTTTGATGCAGGTTGCGTTGGAACTGTTTCTGCATTGGCGAACATCATCCCAGAAGTAGTGTGCAAAACCTTTTCTCTTGCTAAGTGTGGCTCTTGGGACGATGCGAGTGCATTGAACAGACGTTTGATTCAACCTAATATGGCGGTGCGTTTCTTCGTATTTCCGTTGTTAAAAAGTTTCAAATTCATCTCGTGTTTAATGAAATCGTAGGTGACCAGTCAATTCGGCGTTGCTGGACTCAAGGCAGTGATGGACGCTTATGGCTATTATGGAGGTTCAGTTCGGCGCCCTTTGTTGTCGATTGATGAATCCGGTGCTAAAGCTGCGATGAAACCATTTCTTGAAAATGGGTTTTAATCGTCAGATAACTGTGAATCTTTTTTTTTTTACTGACAATTTGTTAACTGTTTTGTCATTGGCGCGAACCTTTCAACTCCAAGAAAGTGGGCGCCGAAGAAGAACTACATTATTTTCGGATGTTTTTTCGCCGTTGTTCAAAGCTATATTTATAGGCTCTAATATACGCTCCCGAGATGACAAATGAAGGCAGTAGACAACCGGAACACGCGTTTCCTTTTTCGCATTCGTGAGCCTCGTTTTTCATAGAATTTATTCAAGATAATGAAGAAGGGTTGGTTAAACCCTCTGGAAAATGTTCCTAGTGCGTAAAAGCGATAATTTATGCACGTTTAAATTGCTGTACGTGGCACAAATGCCTTCACTGCAGAGTTCAAATAGTTTTTTGAGTAATTTCAGGTTGGACGTTCTTCGGATTCCGAGGTCCCAGCGATTTCAAATTTTCACTTGATTGCAGCTGTTCTGTATTCGAGTAAATTACTACAGTATCGTTAAACGCCATAATTTCGTTTACCTTCAGGTATTTGTCACCTGAATTTTTTAGAAATTTCCGTGGGTTTAAGTTCGGTGACTTAGGGTCAGGTCACAATTGGTTCTTCTGGATATTTTTGCTCATTCAGGCGACATCTTCCTCGTATTTTATCACATGACGTAAGGTGCAGTATTTGAGTGAAGAGAAAGAGTGATTCTTCGTTGTGCAGCTGCTTCGTTTTTTCCCCAGTTTAGCGATGAAAATTCAAGTCGAATGGCTGCTTGAAATAGCGAAGAGTTCATCTGGAGCTGATCATGGCTGTTGAACTCACTCAATATAGGAGCGTTGGAACCGGGAGAAGTCGTGACCTTTGCTGCCCGAGAGCGTACAGCAGGCTTTGTACGTATACTGTATCCTCCTTACAGACGCAAGAAAATGAGGAATACGTAAGGACGAAAAAAAAGATGGACAAGGAATCCGGCGAGTGGAAAGATTGTGTGCCTTCTCCCTGTGATCTGTCTGTGCTGTTGTTGGGCTATCGGTGCTGGCCGCCAGTCGTCATCTTCCGTGTTTTATGCCTTTGAGGCGGCGTGGTGAGTAACAAGCCTGTGTATTCCCAAAGCAACCGCGATCCTGGTGAGGCGGAAGTTTTTTTTTAGTCCGCACACAAGCCCGGAAATGCATCTTGTTTAAAGCGTGAACCGGTTATTGAGGTTATAGTGATATTGTTTTTATTGGAAATGGATGGGGGAATTCGGAATAATTTTCGCGCATTTTTGTGCAGCATAATTTTGCTATTTAATTTACGGCGGTTATTGGTTTTAGAACCAAATGTAATTTCTATGCAGCTTTTATTTCTGTTTGTTTAGTGTACCTTACGAACGTGAAATGTTTTTGGGTCGCGAGCGGAGTACAGTAAATTGAAAAGACACGGGGAAGATTTTAAATTTCTGACTTTTGTATAAGCACAGCGTGCATGTACTTCATTCCCCCGGCCCATTTATTGAAAGTGGAACAGGTGAAAGAAGTGATCTCTTAGTACTGCAATATTTAATCATTCCTGGTCCGCGTCGCGATTTTTGCCTATATTTAGGTTGAAAAAGCGAGAATACAGTACAGTAAAAGGGAGTTCAAAATACATTCAATACCTTTATAGGACTCGCATAAATACATTCAATCGTACTGTTTTTAATTCAAAATCCTTCGATCCGTGAGTGGTCCAAGACTTCAAGTTATTCTAATGTACCGAATAACACCTGCTGAGAAGCATTTTAGAGATAATGCTGACAACCATGTGCAATGAGAACGTTTTTCTATCGCAAAGAAAAATTCTGAAGGTGATTCACCTTTCTTCAAATAGCTACTGCTGTTGAGCAAGAAATGCACAAGTCGTCATCGTAATTGAAGAGAGTCATTTGAAAATGAAAGGTGTATCTTCTTCAAAAGTCCTTGTATATTAATTTATGTCTCCAGGGAGGCTCAGATTTCAGATGATCGTGACTTCAATGCTTGTGTACCTAAGATTTGAAGATATGAAGAGACTTCCTGGCCGGGGTCAGTATTCAGCATTGTTTTTATATATCCGTTCATTAGTACGGTATAATGTAGAATTGTAAATGAAGCCAGTGATGTAAAGGATCTTGAATCATTTGATTGACACTAAAGCAACAATGACTGCTAATTATGAGGTGATACAGGCAGACGATTTTCTCTGTCCTTTATAGCAAATTTTCTTCTTGCTCCATGAATATATAGG